TAAAAGGCGATGCTCTGCAATTGAGCCGCTGTATGAACCACCAAACGAAAGCAAATTGTGAAAACCGTCCATTAAGCTGGGGCCTTATTTTGGCTTATGTTCTGTTTTCGTTGGTTTTATACCCAAATTCTCAAAAAAAAATCAAGGAAAAACCCATTCATTCAAGTTGGATGCATAGAAGTTGCATGCACACGACGCTTGCAGACCATTTGCAACACCCTGTATACTAAAAAAAAAGGCAAAGATGTTGTCAGTTGTGGCAAAACAAGCAGAGCCTGAAGCAGATAGAGAAACGATGGCCAGACAGACAAACATATTAGATAAATCGCGAATGTGGAATTAACGGAGGGCCGTTAGATTCGGTTGCCGCCACTGAGACCTGAAACGACACAGAGTAATAGCGACAATGGAGCCCCAGGGACGCATAACCTCAAACTACAGGGGCTGAGCCGCACCATGGCAATTACACAACGATACAGGATTGCTGAACGACGCCAGGCGTCGACTTTTCGAGCCCCTGTTAACCGCTAAGCGTCGTGAAAAATGGCCCTTTTCTGATAGGGCCAACTGCTCTCATTTAAATGGGATTTTTGCCAGATCACGTGAATGAACAGCAGTATTTACTTGTCTGCGAATTGCGACTATTGACAAAGGAAATAGATGTGTTTATCATGTCAGCGTTGCTTGACAAAAATCCTCAAAATAAGTAATAAATTTCAGTCGAAACCATTCAGAAATAGGATGCCGAATGACATTCGGTTTTGACTAATCAACTGAATCTTGCTCGTCTGCTGAATAAATCAATTCAAATTTAATTTGCTAATCCGCACTGTTCATAAAGGAGATAAAACCTGAATTTTGCATACATAAGAAGCCCGATTAATGGCGTGATTGGCTACGTCACTTTTCCTTTATAACATATTGTTGATATCAACTCCAAAGCATTATTTATTCACTGCCAAATTGATGGATTCAATTCAAGGAAAAAATATTGCTATTAGGCTAGGTCATACCATCTAAAGTAGCCCGAATTAAACATACACATAAAGAAAAAAGTGAAAATTTTACATATTTTTCACGCAAAGCTTAAAATAAACATATTGGTTATAACCGACGAAATGTGGCTTATAGGCCTGCCCAGCACCACGCAGTCGAGCCATTTGGGCCTACTATGCGGCTGCTGTTGCAAGTGGCATTCTCTCAGTCATACATCCTTAATTAGTACTTCTATTAAGGATGTTCTTCTATCTATTTGTAGCTTTCTTGAGCAAACGCAGAAAATATCGAAAACATTTTTCTCCATCTTTTGTCAATTTTTAAATATAGGAGTGGATGACACGATTTCTTTCAGCGCGTTTGTATCGCATGTTTTTAAAAATCTATTGCACTCCAACGGGTTAAGCTGAAAAACCAATTGTTTCTCTAGTTTACCGAAGAAAGTCTGCCTGATTAGTACGGAAATTTTCCATGCTGCGCCACTTCCGAGCAAGCTTTGGCAATTTCTTGAAGAACTCGCGGTAAAAGTAGTTCTTAGCTCCTGAGGTTTGGCAGACATTTTTTCAAAAATGCACTCTTCTTTAACCAGTGCTTCCAGAAGAAAATCTTCCACACCATTTTATAGAGTTGGAATCGTTTTGTAAGCATCAAAATTTTCGTTGCTGAAATATTTTTGGCCTTATTTTGGAAATTTTTTGAATAGGATAGTGGAAAGCGGGTTTCATTTCAGAGCGTTTGGACGGCGAATTCTCACAAATTTCTCGGGACCTATCGCGTTGAACTGAAAGCTCGAATAATCTTATGTGTGACAGAAAGAAGCCTTCTTGCTAGTTGTTGAAAAATATCTTCTTGCAATATTTTTGAGCACACTTTGGGAATTTTTTGAAAAACATGCAGCAAAAGTGCTTTTCAGCTCTTCAGATTTAGCCCAAATGTTTTCTAAGTCACACCCTTCCTTATTTAGTGCTTCTAATAAGATTGTTTTTGTTGTTTTATAGAGTAGGCTCAGAAATGATCATTTCTGGCAGTATTTTGGGGAATCTTTTTAATATCGGATTGCAACGTATGATTCAGTTCAGCACGCTTGGACAGCATATTTTCAAAAATGTCTTGTACTCTACCAGATTGAGTTGGAGAACCAATTATTTTTAAATTTTCAGGAGAAGGTTTGCTGGATCAGTGCGGAAAATCTCATTGCTGTGCTTCTCTCGATCAGGTCTTGAGAATTTTCTCAAAAAATTTTCGGGTTTGCTTCAAAAATGTCTTCAAAATTACACTCTTCCTTAACTAGTGCTTCTACAGCAAATTTTTTAAATACAATTTTGCATAGTTCGGTTTGTTTTGCAAACACGAAAATGCTCAATTCTAGGACAATTTTGCTGAAATTTAGGGGCTTTTCAAAATAAAAGATTGCGAAACGCGTTTTATTTCAGTGCTTTTGGAGCGCATATTTTCACAATTTTGCCTAACACTTTGAGCTAAAGCGTGAAATGTTTTTTTAGATTATAGAACAATGTCTGCTTGAACAGTGTTGAAAATTCTGCTTTTGTGTCATTTCAAATTACATCTTGGGATTTTTTTGAAAAACAAGCATCAAAAGTTCGTTATACGCCGCTTCTTTAATTAGTTTTTCCAAGGAATAATTTGTTGTATTGTTTATTAAAATAATCATGGTTTTATCAGCATAGAACATTTTGATTTCTGATACATTTTTGGCTTTTTTAAAGAATTTTTTGAACAATAGTGTGAAAAGAACGTTTTACTTAGGTACCTTTGAACAGCATATTTTCAAAAATTACTCGGACTCGAACGGATTGAGCTGGAGGGCCGAACATTTTTCATTTTTATAAACAACTTTTGCTTAATAAATGCGGAAAATCTGAATGTTGCACCTTTTTTCTCCCGTGCCTTGGGAACTTCATAAAAAACAAGCATCAAAAGTTCGTTTTATCTCTTTAGGTTTTGCAGATATGTTTTCAAATGCACAGGTCTTTCTCAGATAGGGCTTCTCATAAGTGATTTTTTTGTATCATTTTATAGGGCAATAATTCGGATTTATAGGCACGAAAATATTGAAATCTGACACATTTTTTGCCTTAATTGGGTATTTTTTGGAATTTAGTTCAACGCGCTTAGACAGCATGTTTCCAAAATGTTCTCAAACTTTAACGGGTTGGGCTAGAAAGACATTTTTTATTTATTTTACAAAAGGAAGTCAGCTTGATATGTGCAGAAATTTTTATTGTTGTGTTTTTTTTGGTCATACCTTGGAAATTTTTTGAAACACAATGGTCAATAGTGCTTTTTAGCTCTTCAGATTTTTCCTTTATTGGTGGTAAAAAAGCAACTTTTTTTGCTTTTGTATAGAGCAAGCTGGCTTTTCTAAGCATCCAATAGAGTAACTTTTGATTTCTGAGTCGCTTTTAGCTTTATTTTGGAATTTTTTTAAAGAAAAGAGTGGAACGAGCGTTTTATTTCAATGTGTTTGGACGGCATGTTTTCAAAAAATCTCAGACTCTAACAGCATGAGCTGGAAAGCCAAGTATTTTTTTATTTTACAAAGCAATTCCCAATTGAGAAGTGTGAAAAAATCTCATTTTTGCACCATTTTCGGTCATGTCTTAAGCATTTTTTGAAAAACGAGCGGCAAAAGTAGTTTTTGGCTCTTGAGGTTTTGCAGAAAGTTCTTACATCGTTTTCAAGAGTTAGGTTGGTTTTCGTTCATTTTTTTTTCAGTTGGTTTTCAAAGCTTGAAAATTTTTGTTTCTGTGAGATTTTATGCCATATCTTGATATTTTTATTTTTAATAAGGCCGCGGACATTTTTTCAAAATTACTCTCTTCCTGAACCAATGATTTTAGATGGAAATGCTTCGTTGGAAATGCGCGATTCGTGTTTTAGCAATGGAAATTTTCATTTCTCACCCATTTTCGGCCATATTTTGGAAAAATTTTCAATGAAGGCGTAGAAAACATGTTTTATGCCGGCGCTTTTGCACCGCCTGGTTCCAAAAATGTCTCAGCCTTTAACGAGCTGAGCTGGAGAGCGAAATATTTGCATATTTTACAAAACACAGTATGGTTGATAAATGTGGAAGACCTACTTACTGTACCATTTTCCTAATTGATTTGGGAATTTTTTCAAAAACTTGCGGCAAAAGTTATTTTGGCTCCTCAGGTTTCGCAGTCATCTTTTCAAAGTTACTCTCTTCCTTAAACAATAATTTTAGAGGAAATTTTTTTACATCATTTCATAACAATCGGTTGATTTTTTTAACTACGGGAGTTTTCATTTCTGGGACATTTTCGGCCATATTTTGGAAATTTTTTCAATGAGGGAATAGAAAGCGTGTCTGATTTCAGGGCTTTTGGACCGCCTGGTTTCAGAAATTTCTCAGACTCTAACGAGTTGAGCTAGAGAGTGAAGTATTTGAATATTTAAAAAATCAAAGTCTTGTTGATAAATGTGGAAGACCTCATTGCTGTGTCATTTTTTTTAATGGCTTGCGACTTTTTTGAAAAACATATGGCAAAAGTAGTTTTGAGCTCCTCAGGTTTTGGAAATCCTTTTCAAAGTTGCACCCTTCCTTAACCAGTGCCCTTGTTCGCTGGCTATAATGTGTAAAATTGTAATTGAATTTAGCGAAATCCCATTTTAGTTTGTTAGATGGTTTGCCCGTATTAATAGAAATAATCGCATCGTTCCAAGTGTACTTAAAACGCGGCAAACGAGACTTTTGTATCATTTACCTTTGATAAGAGTCGATAGCGACGATTAGGCGGGATTAGCGTGCGGCGAGATGAAAAATGTCGGCAAATGTTTGTAGAGGGAGATAACGACCCTCCCAAGCACCTGACAAAGTATGTATTGTCCTAATGGGACCAAGAATATCAACAGAGCTCCAGAGCAGAGAAATAGTTACTTTGTCTGGGCCATCGGCCGTGTTTCACCCACAATATCCTGTTGAAGAGAACATCTTGTATTTACCTAGACTTTTGTTGCAGGAAAAACAAGAACAAAGGACAAGTACCGAGTGGTCTACACTGACCATCAACGATTGCAGTTGGAAAAAGAGTACAGTTTAAACACGCGATACATAAATATCAAACGAAAGGCGGAAATCGCCTTGGACCTGAATCTGTCGGAACGGCAAGTGAAGATCTGGTTTCAAAACCGACGAGCAAAAGACCGAAAGCTGGAAAAGAAACAGAAGGAGGAGCAGAACCGCGCTATGCAGAGTCAGCCAGATCGGGAGGTTCCCGATGGAGCCGGAGCTCTTAGAGAAGTGTCATTTAACATTGCATTGTTAAATGACAACGGAATCCATCCGACCACCTTTTAATTTTCCATAAAACCCAAGTGAACCCCGCTAATAAACACTTTGAAATGCGAACTTTAATTCGTGCGTAAATTAGTGTTTATTAGCGTAATTAGTTAGTGTATCTATAGAGTGGTGTAAGTCAAGCTCGGCAAAGGATGAAGTTTACTTCATTCTTAGGACAATTTAATTTGCTAATTGCAAATACATATTTAAACTTAACCGAATTTTAGTTGTCCATTCTACACAAAAGTCTTGCAAATACCGGTAATTTTAGAACCGAGTGCAATAGATGGAGAAAGACTAGCGCAGTTTAATGCGGATGGTTTTACCATAGTTGCTTATTAGTGCTAATTTTCCACCATAAAAAATATGTAGATATGTAAATCATGAACTGCGATCATTTGGGTTGGTTGAACAGTTTTTTCTTAGTCCTAATTGTGATTGAATGAGGTACAGCCATCCCTCCCAAAGCCGAATGTGCAATTTCTTAATATTAGGCACCACTTAAGTTTAGAATATAAGATTTCTGCCATGTACAGATTGTTTTTAAACTTCTGTCCTATTCGAAGTTTGAACGGTTCTTTATCAAGAGATTATATAGATAAGAGGTTATTTAGTACAATTGGGGACCTGTGACCCATCACTTTAACCATAGGAACGAATGCAGCAAAGTAAAATTGAATTTATTTTGCACATTTATTGATGTACAATTGATTGCACATTGATGACAGGGGTCATCCAATAAATATATTTTATAAATAATGTTTGCTGTACACGAACTGCGAAATAGAATAATGCATACAATTTCAATGTTTTCCAGTAAACGCTCAGGATTCCAAGTTTATTCTTCTTTTTTTTTTAGTCCTACCCATGCGGAATCAACAGGGTGAGCCACGTATTTAGAACATTTATGTAAAGCCACGAATCATTACAGTTTATACAGAGCAAGTTTTTAAACTGTTTAAAATCAATCAAGTTTTATTTAAGTATTTGCTTCTAAACGGTACGCCGCACCAAAACAAGTCTAGACAGCTTTTCTCTAGTAAATTGGACAGGGGATGCAAAACTGAGTTTTGTTTGACACAAAACCCAGTGATGTAGAATTTAATTTTAATTGATCTGTAAAGTGTTCGTTCCTGCGCCGCTGGTGGAGAAGGAAACCGTGCTAAAATATCTGAAAATTTTGCCTGGTTTTCTGCCATAGCCTAAAAAGTTTCATCCCAAAACACTTAATAGTTTTGCTTTAAGTAATAATTTCTTCTGGTAAGCTTTTTGGTTGACTGTCATTGTTTCGCTCCTAACTTGGAAGCCACTGTAAAACCGCAGTTGCAAAACAAATTTCCAACGGTAAAAGTTTCGTACTGAGGAAATATATTCTTGGTGAAAAGCTCTGAAGTGAGCGGTTTTAGCAGAGAAAAGCATTTTCCGGCTCATTTTCTAACGGCATACTTTTCATCTAAGAACCCTTTCTGCTCTCAAACAGAAATGCAATCAGTCATGTTTAATTTTTTTCGTCCTAAACAGGGCGTCGCATTAAGAAAAATCGAGATACTTTTTGTCTAGAAAATTGAACAGGGAATTGAAAAATTATTTTTGGTTGCAAAAAAAACAGTGGCGTAGCACTTAATTTAAATTGATCTTTCTTTAAAAGTGCTTGTTTCTGCGCCACTGGTGAAGAAGGAAACCCCCCCTAATCTCAACGTATTTATTGTGGATGTCTGCCAAATCCTGGAAAATTTCATCGAAAAACTTCCAGTCGTTTTCCCACAATTWAAATTTTTTTTTGCGAAATTTTTGGTTGACTGCCATTGTTTCGCTCCTAACCTGGACGCCACTGGAGCAACCGCAGTCTAAAGGCGAAAGCCCTAAATTAAGCGGTTGGAGTATAAAAAAGCATTTTTTGTCGTAATTTGAAACAGCAGGCTTTTCATCTAAGAACCCATTTTGCCCTTAGACCGAAATGCAATCAGACAAGTTTCATTTTTTGCTTCCTAAACAGGGCGTCGCACCAAGAAAATTCTAGAGTTTTTTTCTCTAGACAATAGGACAGGGAATTTCAAAATGATTTTTGTTTGAAAACCAAAAGACATTAGACAATTGGAGGGGAAATAAAAAAATAATTTTTGTTTAAAAAAAACTGGTTCATATCATTTAATTTAAATTGATCTGGAAAAGTGTTTGTTTCTGCGCTACTGGTGAAGATGGAAACCACAGCCGAATCTCAAAATATTGGATGTGGTTCTCTGCCAAAGCCGGAAAAATTGCGTCCAAAATCTTCGAGTGGTTTTCCTAAAATTAATAAATTTGTTTCTACTTGCGAACATTTCGTCTTGCTCGACTGCCATAGTCTTGCCCTTAGCTTCGACGCCATTGAAAAATAACACATCTGCAAGGCAAATTTCCACCAACCACAGTTTTCTACTGAAAAAAGGTATTCTCAAAAAGGCTCTAAAGTGAGTAAAAAAACCATTTCCTTGCTCAATTTATGAGAATGAAGCAATCACCAAATTCCACTTTTATCGGGTGAAAAATTGCCTAAAATTCCGCACAAATGTTGCAGATTTATCACAACTCCGAACAAGATAAAGTAGGTTTAGCTCACCAGTGGTAATGTCGAGAGCGGCCCATGTTCTGCACCCACTTTACAAAGTAAAACATCGTTTTTATCTCGCAAGGAACACGAAAATCAACAGTATTGTGTATCTTGGGTAAATAGTAAAATATTTACCTGTTAAGCATTTCACACTTTTGTATACAACAGCGTTCAGTTGAGACATTTTCCGGCCTGTAGGCCAATCTTGGACATGAATAAAATGCATTTTTTTTTCGCGTTTCCATGATTCATCGGAACACGCATTCATTCATCCGAGATAAACTTGAATAAACGGCCGTTATAAATCAATAAACTCAGTCTCAGTCTGTGCCATATATTTGCCAGGATTATTTCAGTTTTGTCTCAGTTTGCCAGCCAAAAAAAAACACCAGAATCGAATTTCCCCACTATTCTCTTCCAGCATCTTATGGAAAAACTCACGTTTCTGATTCGTCATATTCAGTCAGAAATTGTGTTTGGGATTTGTCGGCATGTTCAACGAATAATCTATATATCAAACGAGTTATCGAGTCGAACTATATCTGGCCGACAAAGGGTTGAGGATTACCGTAATACCGTTATCATCTTTTGATGTTTCCAATATTCCAATAGAGCGGATCTGAGTGTACGTAGGCAATGTTTATAACTGAAAATAAATAGACGGGTATTAAAGTGGTTCGAGCTGATATTTCTGCTGAAAAAAACCCAAAGCAAACAACTTCGAAGGGCTTGCTCAACATCAGTTCACAGAACAACATTTATCAACCTCACTAAACGGATTCAAGCTCGTTTTAAAACCACTGAAACGCAGAAATTTTCACAGTTATTAAATTCGTTTTCGCGCTTTGAAAAAATGTTTTCATTGCATTGTCTACTCTCATTTAGAAGAAATCCGATGTTTTGTCTTTCTGTGGCCTCTGAGTGATAAGGAAGCAAATTTTCAAAAAACTGTGAAGTGAGCTTATAAAGACAAGTTTTTCTCAATTCGCATTTTATAGAAGCAAGTCTAGTGTTTACAATGGAAAAATCTCCATTGCTCTGTCTGCTCTGGTTCAGAGGAAATGTGGTGTTTTCACAGTGCGGAAGCAACTGTTGAAAAAATTCGCGCAACTGAACCTGAAGATGCACATTTCGGAAACTATGGGCTCATATCAAAGTAAAGGTGTATTTTTCAGTCAAAGACAATCCATTGCAACACCCGCTCTGGTTTAGAAGGAACTTGGTGTTTTCACTTTTCTTGTTCATATGATATAGATTTCCCAAACTCTTGGTACGTATATAGCAAAAAGTTCCCTTTTCAGTCAAGCAACAACGGCAACAGCTGCTCTATCTGCTCTGATTTAGGCGAAATTGGCGGTTTTCACTTCACCTTTCTTTGGCCTCTTTAAGACAAGTTTTCAAAAACTTCTGCAAAATGATACTAAAGAAGGATATTTTGGTCGATTTTTTTTTCATAGAAGGAACGCTGCGCTGTTTACAATGAAGAAACCCGCGTTGCTCTATCTGCTCTACTTCACGAGAAAGGCCGTGTTTTGTGTGAGTGAAGAAGGGAGCAAAGTTTTAAAAAATTCTCCAACGTGAACCTGTAAAGGCAAGTTTCCCTTAATTTGTACCTTTATAAAGGCAATTGCACTCTTCACAATGGAAAATCTGCATTGCTCTTTCTTCTCTACTACAGGATAAATGCAATGTGTTTTCTTTTCCTGTTTATATGCGGGTCAAAAGTTCAAAAAATATTGTAATCAATCCTGAAGATGGTGACTTTCAAAGCTCTCGTCTTCCCAATTGGGAAAAGAGTCCTTTGCAATTAAATAACAACAACTGCGTTGCCTGCTCTTATTCAGGAGAAGTCCGGTGTTCTTAATTTGCCTTTCTGTGGTCTCTGATTGAGATGCGAATAAATTTACAAAAAATTCTTCAAAATAAACCTGAAAACGCAGGTTTTTCTGAATTTGCGGGTTTAGAGACACAAATCTAGTCTTTACAACGCAAAAATCCCCGTTGCTGTCCCCAAAAATCCCCAAAATCTGCTCTAGTTGGGAAGAAATGCTGGGTTTTCACTTTCCTCGTTCATAGTGCTGGGAAAATGTTCTCGCAATTGAACCTGAATATGATTGATTGATTGACCTTTCGGAAACTCTCGCTTCATATAAAGGCCAACTGTCATTTTTGGTCCAAGAAAACCCCTTGTTCTGTCCGCTTTGATTTAGGAGAAATTGGGTGATATCACATTGCATATTTATGATGCCGCAGCAAATTTTCAAAAAATTCCCGCAACTGAACGTGCAAATGGACATTTACAAATCTTTCCATGCATAGAATAGGAAAAGTGCCCTTTCCAGGCAAGTAACACCGATTTCTCTATCTGCTCTCATTTAAGAGAAATCGGATGTCTTCACTTTGCTTCTCTTTGGCGTCGCATCGGCAA